GACGTGCCAAGTTATCCCGACCTGCGATAATATAACTTGACATGCCTGGCGTTGATAATTTGTACATACATACATTTTGGGATTCAGTTAAGTGGTCAGTTCCTCCCGAATATATCTAGGGACTTCACTAGAACATTAAGCAGAGAAGTTTATCTTTTATGGTTTGTTATGTTCTCTAAAAAAAGTAGAAAGTGATGATGGTCACCATTGTCGCGGCTCAAAAGCAATTTTGAACTCGTGGTGTGCTGAGAACGCAAAAATTGCTTCTCAGTCAAGAGTGTCCATGCAAAGGTAGAATAATTCGCAAAAAAAAAAAAAAACAAAGTTGATGGCTCAGTAATCTCTGACCCATCTGTGAGTAATTTTATACTGCATTTAAACGAGTAACACTCTGGCGTAAAAGAGTGGTCATAAAAAAAAAAAAAGAAACGGACAGCGTGAACGCTTTACAACACCACGCGCATGCATGGACGTTGCTGTAAATGTACGAAGTGTCCCGCAAACTTATGTATTTTGTGAAACGCCTCTGGAAGATTACTTGACTGTTCCTGTTGGTGTCTGATATACAGGGTTGTAAATAAAGCCCGTGTTGTAAAGAAGGTGTGTGACGGACCGCGAGCGCACTGATAGTGCTGCTATAGCCTTTCTTCACAACGCGGAAAAAATAACAGCGCCACACGTATCATACAGGAAAAATTTAGTCAGTGGTTTCTGAAAGTGCTCTACATCTCAGTGTTCATATTTTGGGTTTCCAGCCCATAATTAAAAAAAATGGGCAATTAACAATCATAAATTACTATGGGGAGAAATAAAAAAATATATAGCCTGAGTACCTACAAAGTGCAAGTAGTACGCATTTGGTTCGATTCGCCACTGAAGTGTCTTTCATTTTCAAATTCTTGGCTCAAGTTATATGGGACGACCTGTATATAACCGTGAGCCTATTTCAATAACAAGTTTTGCTCGTTGTATAATCTTTTCTTTTTTCGTCTGTTCTCCAATCTGTTATGGCAGGTAGAGCACCCTTCGGCACCGGACGGGGCGACAAGCTCATGTCCCGTTAAATGCACCATGTCGTATACTGGTGCCTTTGCAAATTCCTTTTTTTCCCTTTTACCATTCGCGAATGGAATAATTTGGATTCGTGAGTTGTTGATCTTCCATTCGATGCTTTTTTTGTTCACTACAAGATGTGTGCTTTTTTGTGAATGCACGGGAGCTGCTGTGCAAATGTATGCCATTTTAGACGGCACAAACGTGCACTTTGGTCGACTGTAATACTGTTTTTTTTTTCTCTCACCACCCTACAATAATGCCCACTTAGGCGATGTAGGTTTCACTAATAAATAAATAAATAAATAAATAAATAAATAAATAAATAAATAAATAAATAAATAAATAAATAAATAAATAAAAATAAATAAATAAATAAATAATAAATAAATAAATAGATTTTGGTAGTGAAGACGAAGTAACTTTTATACTTCCCTTCAATTTGCCATTAGCTGCATATAAGAGAGTATTGACGCAGATTTTTAAAATTTTCTAACTGTTAATTGCTTCTAGTTGTTGCTCTAACTAAAAATCACTGGTGCAGAAAGCACCAAAATAAGTATTTTGGTACTCTGGAAGGCATTAAATACATCTTTAATTCCACCTCCACGAAAAGAAAAAGAAAAGCCACTTTCCATTTTCATATCGAGAGGATGGTATCACAGTGACGTGCATATACACACAGTGCACTGGAGGTCTAAGTGACGCGGAGAAGCAGCTGTAGAATTTCTAGCAGCGCGCTCCAGTCTGTTGGAAGTTGCACCTGTTACACGCAGATTGCGAAGACCAAATTTGCCGTTCAGCGGCTCTGACAACATTTTTCTGCTTTATCTATAGGACGTAGAGCCCACAAACGAAGCGGACTAACTGTGTTAACTTGTCATGACAATGTCTATTCCGGTGGCCAAGGACGGCTTGCAAACCATAGGTGACGAGAACCTACTAAAAAATTTGGACATTTTATTCGTAACAAGCGTTGGAAGCTGGTCGATTTGGTAAGGGCTCGTATTTCAGCAAACTGCGCAGCAGACCGAACACAAAGAACGAACGAAAAGGGAAGGACAAACGCATTTTTATGCGTGTTTCCTGGCTCCATTGTGTGGGCAGTGTTGACATTGTATGCCAAGCAAACAAACGCCCTCTTTTGCAATGCCCTAAAGTAGTGTCAGTGCTTTACAAAAAAAACAAAAAAAAACAAAAAGTAGACGCGTTTATGATCCGAAGGGGCCGCTAGTGTTAGCTTCCCGCGGTCTCTCGACGACTAGTGCAGCTTTTGCAGCTTTTAAAGCATGCAGAGCGTATCCGAGGGAGTGCACCTATTTTCTCAGTCAAAAGATGATGCGCGAAGCAGATACGCTGCGGTGCGCTGGCGTCCTCCTGCTGTTTTTAGAGCTCCGGTGACCTCGACGACGAGGGACGGACGTTTTAAAAGAAAGTATACCCTCTCGTCTCGGGATGAAAATGCAAGCGAGAAGTTTGAATGACCGACGTGTTCCCGAAACGGAGTCGCGTCCCGATGGCGGTACAGGCGATCGCAGTTGATAGTTAGTGTCCAGCCGTCTTACACTGTTCAGTGCACTGCTGGCACTGTTTCCGTCCTGAATCTATACAGTCCGTAGCTCATGGCACACACGGGAGGCTCCCCGGTGCGCTGTGCTTGGAGGCAGCTTTGCAGCTGCTGTGCTTGTTGTCACGTGATCATATAGGGTGCCGGCGAGCTTTGGGCTGGGCGGAGCCTGCGTTGCGCGACGCTGCTACAAGCTCCTTGGTAACCTTGCGGCTGTCGGTACTGTTTCCGTCCTTGAATCTACAGTCCCCAGCTCATGGCTTACGCGGAAAGCTCCCCGTTCACCTGTGTCGAACTTCGTGGCTCCGTGATGGAACACATGCTTCCCACGAGGAAGGTTCGATCCTCACTCAAACCGAACATTTTTAATATTGTTTATTTGCATCCACCTCAAATTTTCTCATCACAGAAAACGAAGATTTTTGCCTGGCGATCTCCACATTGACACCGGAATTTTTGCGAAACAAGCTCCTCAACGCCATTGAGTTAATAGACAAATCGATATGCACGTTGCCAGGCGAAAAATGCGAGTCATGGAGCTCTTCTAATTGCCGCGCTTAAGTACTCAACAACAAAAGAGAGAAGCTCAAGAGGAGGTCTGCGTTGCTTTGCCAAAAGCCATAAGTCGAGTAAGCCTGTGGCGGCAACAACGAACAAAGGTATTTCACTCTTTGGCACGCTTCGCTATGGCCTTGGATATAATTACGACGCTCTGCGAGTCTCGCCTCTTCTCTGAACTGGCAGCTCTGGTTAGGTTTGGTCAGAAAAGCCGCGATTTTCGGAGATAATCACGTACGCTTCCTTTGGGGCTTTGTTTGCAGAAATCCGCAGTAAGGGCGAGTACTCCTGGTGAAATTTAATACATTTAGGTAATTTAATCAAGGTCGTGTATGAAGATTAGTTATAATTTGGAGGCTTCCCGAAAGCTGGTTATTGTCACGTAATTTAATGTTTTATCGATTATCATTATCTAAAGTCGGCTTGCTCCATCGATTAATCGAAGTGTGGGTCTGAGGCCATTGTAGAAATGCCACATAGAATATTTTCATTAAGCTAAGCTTTCCGAGACCTTTTTTTCTCTTCCCCAGAGTCTCCTTTCTAGTATGGTTGTATAATTTTAGCAATTTTCTAAGTTTCAGGTTATACGGAGATCCTTTCTGCCAAAATAGTCCTGCCCTTTGAAACCTCTTTCTCCGGCTGTTCATGCAGTCTTCTGCTTTCTTTAGTGCCCTAAAAAGCTTTGCGTTTTACATTTCTTGCAGCATTACTTCGTGATGTAGTTGTACGTTATACCGCATTTTCTTCTTTTCTTAAAACCGCGGGGAACGCCCCGCCGCGGTGGTCTAGTGGCTAAGGTACACGGCTGCTCACCCGCAGGTCGCGGTATCGAATCCCGGCTGCGGCGACTGCATTTTCGATGGAGGCGAATAGGCCCGTGTGCTGAGATTTGGGTGCACGTTAAAGGACCCCAGGTGGTCGAAATTTCCGGAGCCCTCCACTATAGCGTCTCTCGTAATCATATGGTGGTTTGGGGACGTTAAACTCCACATATCAATCAATCAATCAATCAATCAATCAATCAATCAATCAATCAATCAATTAATCAATCAATCAATTAATGAATTAATTAATCAATTAATGAATTAATTAATCATTCAGACCTCTGGGAACGGGATCTAAGCTGCGCAGTTTTGAAGCACAGGTCATAACTCGTCCATTCTCTCTACACAGGCCAATCACGCTATAAGGCTGCCATTCTCATCGCCTCATATGCGCTGCACAGGTGGCCTTCTGCCTCTTGCTACCAGATTATATATGGCCAAATAGGCACTGTGATCGGATATGACTGCTCGATATGACGCACGTAAACGATTTTTTTTTCGTTAGTATACGACTCAAGAATCAAGGCCCTTGTGATGTTGCTTCACTGTGAACTGCAGGGAATACAATCTATTCAAGGCTAGACTTAAGTTAAAACGTAACCGTAGTAACCTGCGTGCGCCCTAAGGTGTTGGCAGACGTGTCAGTCAACGAAACCAGTAATGTTTTCTCATCTTGATTGCTGTTATAAGCTATAAATAGGCATTGACACCGCATCCAACTGTCAGAGACAGTGACATTGAGTTGAGATGAAGTCAAGCACTCAGTACTGACCTTACATGCATTTTGACTGAATACATAGGTTTTGACGCCGCGATAGCTGTCACAAATTTAAAGAGACCAGATGAGTAAGCTCGAGTAGGGAATCCTGCAGGTGTCTATTCATTGGTTTAGGTAATATTACTTTTCCCGATTGAAGTGACAGCCACTAGTCGATTGGGAACAGCCCATGCGCTCGCAAGGCATGCGATTCGGGCCTGAACTGCATTACGGGACTCACCTTGATCGTGTAGGTTCCGCCGGGCACCGGTTGTCCTCCGAACTTGATGTTGACCGTGTGCTCGCCCTGCTCCTTGATGCGGTAGAAGATGGTGAAGGTGCCGTCGCCGTTGTCTTCGACCTGCGACGTCCACGTCGGGTTCGGCACCGTTGGCGTTGGTCAGCGTGCAAGTGACGGCGCCTTGGCCGGCCTGCTTGGCGTTCACAGTAATGCTGTACTCCTCCCCGATGGTCACCTTCTCCTGCTTCGTCTCCTCTGAAAGCGCGCAAGCCGCGGCAAAGGCTTGACGCAATCCTTAAATGGCAATGTGCGATAACCAAAGTGGCTACACATGAAACACGATAAATGAGGTTGTTTACGGATGTTGCACATCCTGGCACGGAAGTTTTGTGGCGTGGTTATCTCACTCAAAGCTTCGTTTAACCTCAAGGGGGTACGTGCCACTTGTGTGCTGTGAGCAACCAAGATTCTTCCCGTACATTCTTTAGGGTCGCATTGTGAGCCTGGCACTTTAAAACGCGAGCGCATGCCAGTTCTAGTGAAATACTTCCATTAAATTCCGACCCGACTCTTGGAGTAGTGTGCCGGGCTTGTGGCAAAGCAAACTTGTGATGATTTCGGTTAAGCACCCCTCTCTCGCTGTGCTTTCGGTGCCCATGGGGGTTAAGAAGACCACGTGTCTCCCGATTCTACCGTCAAAAACGGAACATAGTGAACAGCGGAAAGTCTTAACATGGCTGCGAACAGATATCGTTTGTGGTGTCGTCCTATGACAATGAAGATGCATTTCTTTCTTGCTGCTGTAACGCCTCTGGGCAAAGCGGGGATATGTATGAATAAAGAATAAATATAACGCTCTCACAGACCATATCGCCCCCGAGTAAACATTTACGACGAATGCTTACAAACTTGCCTAACTTCGCGCTTTTCTTTCTTTAGATTTGTTTTTGCTTCAACTCGCACACTTTCGATAACTTTCGTTACACGAAATGTACGCGATGTGGAGAGCGTCGTACACGCACCGCTGATCTTGCACTTGTCGGCTTGTCCGGTAGGTACGCTGTTTAGTGTGGCCGGCGATCCGGGCACTTCCTTGCCGCCGTACTTGACGGACAGCTGGTGCTTGCCCACGTCCGAGAGCACGTACTGGCCTCGGAAAGTGCCGTCGTCGTTGTCCACGACGCGGGCCTTGCGAGGCACGTTGTCGGGACCCTGTGGGATCGTAGCACGGGCAAGCTATAGGTGCGCACAGGTGCGCACAGGTGCACGTTTTCTTGCATCACGTATGAGTGGCGAACTAATAGTTACTGTTCGGTAGATTGCACTACAGAGGGCGCGCTAGGTTAGGAAAAAATGGACGGAGCGAGGAAAAGGCCACAAGTGCTGTGGTGTCGCTTGTGGTGTCGTCCTTGCTTCCTGCGCCTTTTTTTTTTAACCTTGTGCACCTTGTAAATGCAGCGCAGTTTAACGAAAAAGCAAAACCAACGGTCCCCAATACCTCACCCTGCTGGAACAATTTTTGCCCCATTCATTGAGATGGCAGTATGCTGGAGGATGCAGTTCAGTACTTATTTGGTTAGGTCGGCAAAAGAAAGTGGAATTCACCCAGATTCACTCAAGAAATACATATCGTGCTTTGGCCCTCACTCGGACTCAGACTCGCCAAAAATTTGCCCGAGTCTAACTCACTCAGTTACTCACACTCACGGCTCGATGCGAGTCTGAGTGAGTGCGACCAATGCTTATTTGTGATTTAGAGGAGAGTCTGTAAGTTCCACATGAGGTATAAAATGTTATGCTTCTGTTGCTATTGTGACGAAGGGCAGATAACATTGACATGTCCAGTTTTTGTATTCGTGCTGGTAGCTCGTCGAGAGAATACAGTGGGTCTTGCTTGAGAATCAAGATTGTTCGCAGAACACAATACGAACGAGGGACGACAACAACGCTGTTGTCGTCTCTCCTTGTTGTGTTCTGTCAAAATTTTGCACGGTTTTTTCTCTGTTGAAACCACAGACCAATTATATCAAGTTTCAAACCTGGCAGGTATCGTTAGATTGACGCAAAACGCGCCACGTCGTTAGGCATCACCTTGCTGATGATGTAGAGCAATGCAATGGCAAGCTTTGCGACTAAGGAACCTAAACTTCACGTACCTTAACGGTGATTTCGGGCTCGGCGACTCCCGCCTCGCGGGCGTCGATGGTGAACTCTTGGGGAATGCTGGCCGGCACGGGCTTGCCATCCAGTCCCACGAGCTTGACGTTCTGTGGCTCGCAGGTCGGCCTCACCTTCATCTTGTACGGGCTGTTGGGGATGTCCTTGTTGTCGTACGTGATGCGGACGTTGCAGTCGCTCTTCTCGGGCGGCGGCATGTAGTTCACGTCGTACGTGCCGTCCTTGTTGTCCTTCACTGTCGGCTTCTGGGGCACCGGACCTGCACGAAAGAATACGCGGTAGATGATAGGTACGCGATGAAACCTTGGTAGCAAACGATCTTCTCTCGGAAACTCACTAGCAGCGTCGCTAGGCGCTGATGGTCATCTTTACAAGACAAGTGAAAATTGAGTCGAGACAAAACATTTAAAATGGTTCCTACACGCGTGAACACGTAATGTACAATATTGAAAAATGAATTATTCAGGAGTGTAGCAGCCACTTCAAAGCTTGAGTGCGCCAAAAATAATCGAAAAAGATTTCTTTTTTAACAAATTACATCATGTGGTTTGATGTGGCGAATGTTCAATAGTTGTAGCTTAGTGTCAAAGGGAGGCTGAAACAAAATAGGAAAAATGAACGAGAGCGTAGAAATTCCCTTTGTAAGAAGTGACTGTTTCAAAAGAAGAAAACTCGGGAGAGGCAGATCGGAAGAAGAAAAAGCGTTAAAAAGCATTTTTTGTTTGCACTCGACCAAGTTTTATATACCACTTCAAAAAGTTCTGTAACGACGATTACTCGGTGATCTAATTGTTACAGGTGATATATATGGCCAACGCGCCATGCAACAAGAGTGAAAGGGCCAGCCAGATAAGGATTTATGTTTTAATCGTGAGGTCAGGTACCCTTCAGCCCTCTCGCCAGAACTTATGGTTCTGGTTTTAATTTTTGTACTTGCCCTTGAGAAAAACTTGAGATCGGGTCGTGCAACCGTCTCTGGAAGCATGTGATTCTTATTAAGGTAACTTAATCCCATTTTTCTATATTTGTCGTAGTTATTTGATTGTTGGGTTATAGTGGTTATGTTCATAATTCTTGTCGTTTTACTTGTGTACGTGATGTTGCGCTTCAATAGTCGTGTATTATAATCAACCCATCATGGTGCATGACCCGCAAGTTTTATAAATATGGTGCGCGGAAAAATAAGCTGTGCTCATGTAAATTCAGCCTCGCTACTTCGGTAACAGTATGAACTGGCTCCTTCGCTATTTTACTTTGACTAGTATGACTCGCATCGGCGTTTGTCATGTAAACACTTACCCTTCTCAGACGAGACCTCGACAGCCATTGGTGCCTTTCCAACTTTGCGTGCGTCCACGGTGAACTTCTGCGGCACGTTGGCACGGCAGTTTCGCGGTTCCAGGCCTGGGCCGTAGGCCACAACCTTGGACGGGTCGACAGGGGCATCCACAGGGACCTTAAATGGACTTCCTGTAAGGGAATCAGAATATCGTCTTTAGGATTAGCGAAAAGTATAGAAAAGTACAGTTAAGGGGATACTGACAAAAATGTTCTAAGCTGACTTCACTGCGCCATACAGATCTCCTGTGTACAGACTGCTCTGAGTGAGGGCGAAACTCAGAAAATGCAGAAGTTATCTATTTTTGACATTAAAGTCAATTTCCACGTGGCGCGTCTAATGACGACGATGCAAGCTTGATGTCAGGCTAAAGTGTCAATTATGATGACTTCGCATACAATTATGGCTAATTGTGCATGATGTCAGGTACCAAAGCATACCAGGTGACCACCTGTACGGCACCAACGGAGCCACGGCGCTGAGCGGCCGTGAAAGTGTCGCGATATCTTGTGAAAGATTGTGACGAGAAGCCCATACCGTGTCGTGGCGTCAGGGTACAGTTGGAACCAAAACTAACTTTTAAAATCTGGATGTAATTGATTATCATGACTATCTGATTATCAGAACATTTCTAGACAATATGGAGAGATTCGACTTTCATTCGACACAAGAAAACAATTGAACATTTTCGTGCCAGTGTCTATTTATATTTTGTTTAAGTGCTTCAGACAATGTTCGAAGAGGAAGACGTGCAGAATGGTACGCGAGGTATTGTAGGGTAAGGCTTGGTTTGGATAAATTGTGTTATACTTGAAAGACTTTTTTTTTCTTCAAGACACTATCACGGAATGCAGGGCACAAGAAGACGTCCTTAGCTCACCGGGAATATCTTTTCCGGCGAAGCGTACGGCGATGTCGTAGTCACCCTGCTCGGAGGGAATGTACTCGACGGTGCAGGTGCCGTCCCGGTTGTCCTTGCAAGTCATCTTGGCCTCCGTCGGTCCCTCGATGGCCAGCCCCAGACCTCCGGGGCCCGCACCACGGGTCTCCACGGTGAAACGGTTCGGCTGCGAGCGTGGGCAAGTCGATGCCATTCTCAAACCATTGATTCATCATCTATCGAAATCATAGAGCTGATAGAATACACTCCACAATAAAGTAAACGCTTCCTCCACCCTCGATGAACAACAACATGTGGTACGGAGTTCTGCTACATACTGGTGAGAATTTTCGAACTTTAGCGAGTCTACCGTCTGTTCCAACAAGTCACGACTCGATCAAAATAGTATTCTGCGACTTATTTCCGTTCACCAGCGGTGGCCTGCTCCGATTCTGTAAAATACGGGAAACGGTCGAGAACGCTACTAAGAAATGGTCAGGGTCCGATAACTGCAGGAACGCCGCGAACGTTTCTTCTCAATCCTGCCCCTCATGCTGGCCTACATTCTGTTTGAAAAAAAAGGCCGAGAAATTTAAAATATTGAAAGTACACCCGCCTCAGTGCGTGATCAGGGTGATATGCCCAGAACGTGTGCTATTTATCGTTTAGTAAATAAGAGCTTTGCTGCCGTGTAAGTGCCGAGAAACGAAGTCTTAGGCTCAAAATAAGACAAGTTCCAAGAATAGATGCGGTGGTTGCATCTATTATTAGTCCTGGTCTTATTTTGCGCCTCAGACCCAACTTCATGCGTCGTGCTTCACGACGTGATGAAAAATAAGATAAAAATGAAAAAGAACGCACAATTATAGCTTGTACTTTGCTTCATGTTTACATCCGCGGGCCTGTCTTTGCATGTGCACGTTCTCTCTAATGTTGCTAAAGTAATTCCGAGGGTTGTTGAAGCTTCTTGGAAACGAAGATTGACGCTCAAATTCGGTCATCGTTGTCTCTGTTTGAGTGCCGTTGTTTCTCTAAGTCGTGGCAACCTTGCTATGCTTTTATTTCGTGTGGTGCGTCGGTTACTCACTTGGTCGAGGATGCCCTTCTCGAGTCCGGGTCCGTAGGCCTTCACCCTCGAAGGGTCGCAGCCCTTCACAGCCATCGTCTTGAACGGTGATCCCGGAATGGGCACGCCGTCGTAGGTGAGCTCCACCTCGTGAGGACCTGTGCACGCGGTAGCAAGGAAACAACAACCGTCGACATTGTTACGGGAACGCTATTCTACGCGTTCGTTGAATGCGATACGCATCATGTGACAACTTCTAACGCTAACGAGATCAACTTTCGTTTAGCTCTAACGATGTCGAATCTAACGATAATATAGAATGCAGTTACGCGTGGTAATAACTACTGGTATTTTACATGCCATAACCACGATATTATTAGGAAGCACGTCGTAATGGAGGGCTATGGAAATTTCGACCACCGGGGTTGTTGCATCGAAATCGAAGCGAACGGGCCTCAAGCATTTTCGCCTCCAATGCAAATGCGGCCACCGCGGCTGGCATTCGATCCCGCGACCTTCGGGTCAGTACGCTTGTCCATCACGTACGTTTCATTGCGTTTGTATACTTTGCGCTTTCGCCCAGTTTTACGTAAGAGATGAGTCATCCTGTCCATGTTGAAGGGACAATAAAGTGAAATATTAAGTATGTTAGATCGATAAGCTTTACTTTGAAAACCAGTGTTGTTCATTCGACCACCATAGGTATCCTAATGGTTTATAATTCATATCAAAACTTTCACTTTTAAATGTCCGATCTTGATGTGACTGGTTTCAAAATGCGTGCACGCGCGCGCGTGTGTGTGTGTGCGTGTGTGTGCGTGTGTGTGTGTGCGTGTGTGTGTGTGTGTGTGTTTCCCGTATTTTGGCCGCATTGCCCTAACAAAGTTCCCAAAACCAGAAGCTTGGTATGTTAGTCTTCAACTCCCCCATAAACGATGTACTTCACTTTCACCAACTGGGAAATACGCAGCCACCAGTAGACTTTGTCATAATCTATGAGGTAACAGAGTCCATTGCGGGAATTTCAAGGCGCGGTCACCACGCGCATTTTCTTTTCGAGCGTCTTCTCGCAGCTGTCGTGGTGTTTCCGCTATTGTGAAATAGTGACTTACTTATACTAGAAAAACAGTTTTTATCTGTTGTGTCCCATCTAAGTTGTCAAGGGCGTGCCAGCTAGTGTTTACGTGTCACAGTTACCAGCGGGTGGACTTCAGTGTGTGAATTATTTGAAATTGCAGAGGACGTTCTTCGATGTAAATACATCAATGTATACGATGTGCGGTTGCTATGTAGAAGTACGTACCTTCCTCGTGCGGTATGTAGACCGAACGGTAGGTTCCGTCTCCTTTCGGCTGGACGGCGATGGGGATCTTCTTGCCCGATGGCGTAGACAGGGTGCAGGTGACACGAGCGTCACTGTTCGGGCTGATGGCGCGCGCGTCGATCATCACCTGGGCTGGGGCCTCCAGGAACACCGCTGCGAAAAAGAAGGAGGCGTGAAAAACTCGTCGAATGTAACGGCAGTCGTTGGTTGAGTGAAGCAACCCTTCGTTTCGCATGAAGCTGTCGGCACTTGTGAGCTTGAGAGCTCGCAAGTTTGCACTCAACCATGATCTGTGTTAACTGAGAATTCACCATCAGGTAAATTGTTTGTCAAGTACGAATGAACCACAGACCCTGGTTAACAAAGCATTTTCGGTCGTTTAATGTCCTCGTCAGCTACAAATCAGCTACAGCACTTGTTACCTCAGTTGAACTTGTCCAGCGCATAGTGGGAAAGAAGAAACGGCTGAGCCGTTTAACATGAAAGGACTTTCCGGTTATGCGCTGGTTTAGGTGTGACAAACTAACTCGCGCAATTTTAAACACTAGTGGACCGGTTAACTAAGAATTTACCTTCAGTTAAAGTTGTCATCGGCTACGAATCATTCACAAACCTATTAATGTCAGCTTTTAGTAAAAGTGGCCATCAACTCTTACTTTAATCCTATCCGTCTACAACTTGATTTGTGTTAGAACTTGCCTTCTGCGAGTTCCACCAGCATAATGCTTGTCCCGGGGGAAAACGCGAACATTTGAATCTGCACCTCGGGAAGGATAAATCGCTCTTTGCCCTCGACAAACGCGACTCACAGTTTCCTTTTATGAAATGCCTTGCTTAGGGACGACATGTACTCGCTTGCTAGCAAGACTAGAAAATAGCGCGGCGTAAGTTATTGTTGCGGCTTTCACACTTTCAAGAATAAAGCGGAATGTTTGAGGTTGACGTGTAAACAATGGACACGTCGACGCTTGTCGTCATTCCGGGGAGCGAGCACAGGAAGGCTACATGCGTCAGTGAGGTGGAATACTTTTGCAGCAGCTATGTACTTCCGGATCACGCTGATCTTTGTGCATAATAATACAGGGTGAATTGTTGAGGAGGTACTTGCTATGTGAATCAATACTGAACTATGTGAAGCGTGGCTCATTTTTTTAGAGAGGATAAATCATAAGAATCATACGAGGCCAGCTTGCATACGAGGCCAGCTTGCAAAGGAACCCCATCGAGATGTTAACGGTTCTACAGACTAATACGTATGTTGAAAATCCCTCATTCATTCGTAACATGAGTAAACCCTAATATGTGTGTGTATGTTCACCTTGACGTATGCATCTTGATCACTGTTTAGTATTGGCTGATTCGTAATATGAGCTGTGCCTTTATGACCAGTGCGTATGAATTCGTTTGAAAAACCTTGGTAACTCTGGTTCCCATACTTAATGTTTACGAACAGCGCTAATGATCGACCCAAATTCAACATGAAGGCCGAAGAAATGTCTTTCTACTAGTTTCAAGAAAACTTTATTAGAAGTCGTAGTTTTTCTTTGTTTCATAGCTGCATGTTCATGAGTGATGCGATATTTTCCTTGGCGATGCTTGCTCAATCTTCCGAAACTCCGCATAAATGATTTGCTTCCATAACGCCTATGATTCTATAGTTACGTAGATGTGCACATTCGCGGACTTGAAGCACGAAAGGAGGAGTATTGGGTCCTCATCTGAAGATACAATAATCGCTAGCAGCAAAAGTGTCGTACAATGAGTTTATAATTCGTAGCTATGTCTGTCGAAAACAAGAGATGGTTTGACCGCTTTCTGAGCAAACATTTTTGTTTATTGGTAGTATTATTTCTAAACTACTTTTCAGATTGGCTTTATCTTCATTTTAGTTTCATTTAAGTATTCTGCCACCCGGTTTTTGGCCCATCCCCCTCTGTGGGTGTTCGCCATCCATCAGAGGTCATCATCATCATCATCATCATCATCAAGCGTGGTAACTTACTCGGTTCGAGGCCTTCAACCTTGATCTTGGAGGCGTCCAGGTGAGACGCGACGGGCACCTTGAAGGGACTGCCCAGCACGTCCTTGCCATTTACGGAGACGTTCACCTGCGGGTGGAACGATGCAAGTTGTAGGCTTAGCTTTAGTTGTAGGCTTAGGTTCAGGTATATCTTTAGTTGGAGGTCGATGTTTTGGGTCTTGCCCGCATGAGCGATGTAGAGAGATGAAGGATGGGTGATTAACCACAACTGTCTGGATGACTACAACATACTAGACAAAGGGAAATGTTTGTAAAGGTGGTGGAAGGTTACAGTGTCTAAGGTTTTACGTGCCAAAAGTGCAATATGATTGAGGCATGTCGTTGTTGAAGGTTCCGGAAACTTCGACCATGCGCTGTTTGTTTAACGTCAGCTGATATTGCACTGCACACGGGCGCCTCTACCATTTTGAAATGCGCCCGCCACGGCCGGTATCGAGACTACGATTTTCGGGCCAGCAGCCGAGGGCTTTAACTACTATACTAACGAGGTGGAGAAATAATAAAACAAAAAATTGTAAAAGAAATCGCCCGTGCAAGCGTGTTTAGGCGCAAGACTGTGATTACATTCGCGAATTCCACTCGGCTAATGGTGATGAGCGAGACCGCTTGACTTAGACATGCGAACGCCAAGAAAACCGGGCCCATCATTCTAATAATTCCAGAGCCAATCATGGCCGAACGCTAAAGTACGGATGAGAATACGGGTCTAGAGGAATCAAGAACTGTTCGCACCCCACTATGTTAGCGTGCCCATCCGTTTGAATGTAAAAAAAAGTTCACTAATAACGTCCTTGTGGTCATATTCGTCCTCTGTGGCATTCTCGCGCTTTCACATATTGTATGTGAGCTTCTATTGTGTATTTTTCAGACGACTGTTTTTTTTTTTCAGAGCTACAACAAACCAACGAATGCAATAGCTATCACATCATCGCAGTTCAGCAACGTATTTGTATTATAAGTGTGTACATTTTGCTGTGAAGTTAGGAATTACCCGGCTAGCTTCTTCAAACGTGCACATCCGAGATAATTTAACGGAGTTTCTGTAAGTATGTTACTCTGCAAGGTTCAACACGAAGAAAAGAAGTATTTTTTCTATGTTAAGTGTGGGGATGTTGGGACTTGTAAGCTCGAAGGTTACCACGTCTGAATTAAAAGCTGCTGACTTTATATAGTTTTACTTTCAAAGATATCTGCGACCTGTATAGTGCCACTAATATTATAGTAAACAGCTCTTGTACGCTTACTACTGCGAGAATATTGTGCTTTGATTGAGCAAAGAGGAGTTTCATTCATGTACATGCTCGCGACGGTTCTTGCACGCAAGCCTATTTGCGGACGTCATGCTGCATTTAAAACGACATGTGATACTCCGCGGCTCTGCGACATCGACAAGAGTGTGTTGGATATAGAGGGAATTCTATCCGCATTTCCGGTGTCATCGAGTGCCGACTACCACAGTGCTTGCTAAACTGCCAGAAACGTTCATCGCTAACTAACTATACGCGAAGGGGTTACGTTATCAGCTTCATGCGCGAGGGCGGGTCATCTCTTAACCAAAGCGTCGAATGTTTGCATTGGCTCCCTTGCACGCTCGTTTGGCAAGAGCCGCCGCTGCTTCCGCCTTATTTATGTAAACAAAGCGATAGAAGGTATATTTTCCGCTGACTTTGAAACCACTTAACCTACTTTTATGTTTATTTGTTATTTCTTTTCGCTCGTGAATGCGAAAATGAAGCTCTGAGCATTAAGATAACAACTACATGCAAGTGTCTAAAGTAAGAAATATCTACTATCATTGTTTCATTATTGACGTTGATTCTGGTAAGTATTCAGTTAAATAAGATAAGCTACTCAATGGTAGACAAACGTTGACTTTAAAAGCGTCTTGATGTGTTAAAGGTAGGGATTATAGATCAACACGGATGACGTAGCAGTCATTTGAATCGGGCACGAAATAATTTCACGCCCCGCCGCGGTGGTCTAGTGGCTAAGGTACTCGGTTGCTGACCCGCCAATCGCGGGAACGAATCCCGGCTGTGGCGGCTGCATTTCCGATTTAGGCTGAAATGTTGTAGGCCCATATGCTCATAGTTCGGTGCACTTTAAAGAGCCCCAGGTGGTCAAAATTTACAGAGCCCTCCACTGCGGCGTCTCTCAAAATCATATGGTGGTTTTGGGACGTTACACCCAACATATCAAATCAAATAATTTCACACTGGCTTTTTAGAAGCGGTCAGGCAGACGAAATGGTATTGCAGGCCTACGCTCGATGAAGCTGATAAGCTAGTGCATCTGTGACATAATGCACATAATGCAGCAAACTTTCTTTAAAATTCCGGTTTTTAAAACCCGCGCTTGGGTTCTATTGATCCGAATTCACAACTTTTTTGGCATCCGAGCTCTCATGACGCGATGCAACTTTGCTGTGTAGCATGTGGCTGAGTGTGGTATTCACGAATGCACATTCTTGTCTGCTTCTCCTCCTTGTCTCATTGCAATAGCAAAAAGTGCAGCGTTTAACTTATGCGGCTGTGAGAACACAACTGAGCACATTTTATGCTACTGCCCATTTTACCAGACCCAACGACGTGTTCTAAGATTCAAACTGCGTCGTCTTGGTGCAAGGCCACTGTCGGAAACTCCTTGACCTGCGCTTTTGTGTCTGTAATTGGCCACGAACTTTAACTAAATGCGTATGTTAAGTCTTTTTTTAAAGGTCATTATACTTTATCCGAAAAACCGTGTGGTCACGACTCTTCGAAGAGAGCTAACATTTATTGTCAAAAAGATATACGCATGTGGCAAGTCGGAACTGACTAAGATGAAAAAAAAAAAAAAGCATGAACGAGAACTATTGCGTCCAACAAAAGAAAAGAAGACCTTAAAGGTAGCCTTCCTTCCTTCCACATGAAAGAAGGATTTTTTTTCCTTACAATGCAGTCTTGTCTACCTTTCTTCGCGCTCATTCATTTCTCTCACCGAGGGTTAGACACAATCAATTGAAATGAACAAACAATTAGGTAAGTGAAAGCATGGATGATTATATTGTTTTAACCGCAGTGTACTAATTGCAACGTTATATGAAACGAACTGATGTTGACAAAAATCACCCTTTCGTCTGTGGAATCTAAACCCACAGTCTTCGAATCCCACTGACAGAAAGGGTGAATTTTCTTCCATTTCAACTGAGTTCAAATTACGTCAAAATTTGTTCACCGAAATGATAAGCTCAATTAACGTCTTCCAAATACTTCGCCTGGCTTAATTGTCTATTTTATTTCATTTGGTCGGGTCAGACATATAAACAAGCCCCTCGGGAAAGAAATTCTTTTTGTCCTCCCTGTCATCCAGTGTGAAGCATACAAAACCGAACATGCCCAACGTTCTTGCGTTATCCAGTTTTCATATTTGACTGCCTGCGTTGTCTTATCTCGCACGCGCATCTGGTCATAATTGCTTTCGACATTCTCTTGAGTTGATTAAACATCGGCTCGGCTAACATCCCGTTCGCGTTGTTTCTGAACCCTTATTTACACCCACAGCGACAAGCACTTTGAACATTCAAAACAAGTGATTGTGTCAAACAGTATAGAAAACAGAAAACAGCGTGAGCTTCAAGAGCGTGAGCTTCGATTGCGCCATCACAAAAAGAAATAGCTTCTCTTCGGAACGTTAGCACACGTGTTGTTCATGGTGCGTTGTGGCGATGACTATACGTGGTTGTTAGGTGGATTCTGTTTTCTTTGTTTTGTATTTTTCTCTTTTTTTTGTCAGATACTGCCCAAGTATATATAGTGCGGTTCTAGCAAATAAATCTTGTTGTAAGTCAGTGCCGCTGTCTGTCTATTTCTTTCTCTTGTCCCTCGTTATTGGCGCTGTTTTTTTATGTGAATCATGTCGTACCAACTTGCCCAAGCAACCACGTTAGCTTAAAGAGTCCACGGGCTTGTTCTCATCAGTGGCTCCCATCGCGCCGATCCTAAATGTCCCGTTGTTTATCGTCTTCTCCTCGCGTCGTCTACTTGGCGCCCTTTTCACGACCTGGCTCTCGGCTCTGCGCCGGCTGTGTCGGCGAAGATAAATGCCGTACACCGCTGACGCTGAGTCGTGACGAGGATTCCCGAAGGATGCCACCGCTCTATCCCCACTCAGCTCCCGGCCTTGGCAGCGATGGCCCGACTCGAGATCCCGTATGCGTTGCGGTATATGCTTTCTTCATCGCGGGACCCGCGCCAAGAACCGATGCTCGGCCGCGGTATCCCGCTTCCGCTTACACCGAAGCTCTGCGTTTCAACTTTGCTGTTTAAATTTCGCCTTTTTTTTGCCTTCTATACCAGAATGCGCGCTTGACGAGCCTGGCAGCGAAATTGTCGCACTCCGCATCTATATACTGCACGCTACAGCGCACGTCGTGGCCGACTCGCTTTGTGTTATGCCGCGAAGCTTGGGCTGCGCTCAAACCGGGGAACCGGAGTCATTTAATTTTAGGCTGGCACGGAGAGTGCGCGGGATAGGTAGACGGTGAGGTATCGGACGCAACACCGCGACGATATATCTCTGACGACGCCGAAAAAACGTATCATTACTTCAGGAAGGAATCGGGACCTCGGACGGCATTCGGAGAAAACGACTGATGCGCGTGGAGGAGGCTGCCTGGGCCGTCGTGCGTTACATAAGCTACCATATCTCCAGCCGCTTCACTGATGGTGGTGACCAGCGTCTGTTACACAACTTCCCTGCGCAGAGCGCACGCCGTATACGACATAATACTGTAGACCGCAACGCAATGTCGTGACAGACTGAGCTATATATTAGTGTTCCATGACAAGTATCTTTTTTTTTTTTTCGCTCATGGTGCAAACCAAGCGCTACTCTTGTGTGCGACGCGCTTTAATAACTTGAGCGTTTGCGCTTAGCATCGTTGGATTTCTGTAAGACGTTTCTTTAACTAAAGTGAACATGAATCTTAACCATTGATTATGCAAGAGCTCCTCGAGTTGAATAACATTGAAGTTGAAGAGGGTGTCTTATCACTGCTGCTTAAAATCAATATAAAGAAATCACCAGGAATTGATTGCATACCGAACGCATTTCTAGTAAGGTATGCAGAATGGTGTTCAAAGTATTTATCTATTATATTCAAAAAAACATTGTCCACTGCAGAACTCCCGAGAGATTGGAAGCGCGCGAAGGTTGTTCCGATCCCTAAGGCGGAGGATCCTTCACTAATTACGTCATACAGACCATTATCTTTACTGTGTACCTGCTCAAAATTGCTAGAACATATTATTTTTACGCACTTTTCAAACTTTCTGCAACAAAATAAATTGATTGATTGCCGCCAACATGGTTTCCGTAAGGGAATGTCGACGGTTACCCAACTCCTTGAGACAATACACGAGTTTGCCTCAGCCTTAGATAAACAGAGTCAAATCGATATAATTTTTTTGGACTTCCAGAAGGCATTTGATCGCGTCTCGCACCATAAGCTTTTGTTAAAATTAAAACCCATATTACAAAATAACTCACTTCTCTCATGGATAGAGTCATACTTATCGTCTAGGAGTCAATGCGTATCAGTTGGCGGCTCGTGTTCACGCCCGGCGCCCGTGCAATCAGGCATTCCCCAAGGGTCGGTTCTCGGGCCACTATTATTTTTAGTTTATATAAATGATATCGTAAACGATATACCTGTCAAAATCAAACTGTTCGCGGACGATTGCATCCTTTGTCAGGAAGTAAACACACCCGCCGACCAGGCATTATTAAGTAGTGCCCTGGACAAACTGCATATTTGGTGTGAAAAATGGCAGATGAGCATCAATACTACAAAAACCGTCTCAATGACAATTTCAAGAAAGAAGGCACCACTTACTTTCCAGTATTCAATAAATGGTCGCTGTCTTAGTGCTGTAAATCGTTATAAATACTTAGGTTTAATAATCACTTCAGACCTCCGGTGGAATGAACATATCACTTTTCTAGAAAAGAAAGCCATGAAAAAGCTTGAATATCTTAGAAGATCGTTACGACAGTCAACGCAAGAAATAAAACTATTAGCATATAAAACCTACATTCGTCCCCTTTTGGAATATGCCTGCGTGGTCTTGGACCCATACACAAAGAAAAATATTGATAAACTAGAAAACCTACAAAGAAAATCTGCTCGATTTATCTTTCGCTCATACAATCGCCTTACGTCAGTCACTGCTTTGCTTCAGACAGCGAACTTGGAAGCATTAGATTTGCGGCGATATCGCGAAAGACTAAAATATATGTATCTGCTCTACCACGATAAGCTTGGCATTGATTCAAGTGCGTATATAGAAAAAGTTGTGCGACGACCCACGTGGGCGGATCACTCAAAAAAATTACAGGAATTTTCTTGCAGAACGAACTTGTACATGGGCTCTTTTTTCCCACGAACTGTACGCGAGTGGAATCGCCTCCCTGGTGGGATTGTGGAGGCGACGAGAGTGGCGTCATTCTTATCGGAGCTAAAAAACTTATAGCATGTCTTCCTGCCATATTTGTACTCTTTGTTTTGTGACGTTGCGTTGTGAGTACACAAGTGATGTTAGTACGCACTTATATAGGTATTATGCTATGCGCAATTGCATGTCATGCACTGTATATTTTTCTTTTTACCGCGTTAAAACGTGTGTGTCCACGACATTCTCTGTGCGTAATATATTGTGAAAATGTTCAGCGTGCTATATCTATATTTATATGTTACCCACTCCTGCTTATGGCTTCACTTTGAAGCCAGCAGAAATCCTGTAAATAAAAAAAAAATTGGTTGCAAGCTACGTGACAGAGCGAGCTAGATTAGTTACAGATTATGAAAACTGTGGATCAAAAGCAATGTTGAGTGATTGAATTGACTTCATTTAAAGTGCGGCAGTTTCCTTCGGGTGAGGCGGGGAGAAGAGTTCTCTCACCTTTTTTTTTTTTCAACAGAGACTGTTTAGAAGGTGTTGTCAATACTTTATTGGTACCAGCGACTATTCCCCGTGTAGAAAGTCAAAATATTAAAGGTAGTTGGCAAATTGAGTCCTCCGCTACAGTGTCTCTCATCATCATATGGTGCTTTTGGGAAGTTAAACCCACTTATCAATCAAGGTAGCCGGCGAAAAAAAGGTCTCATAAAATTATGCACAAACAGTCCCCGTGCAAAATATTTACCACTGTATTGAGTTCAGGTATCGCTGTTCCGGTAGGCTATCCATGGGTTAATATGTTTTCTTGCTCGAATACGAAGCGGGAATACATATAATGTCGACCGTTAAATATTTTCACCTTCTTTCGATATGAAGGCTCAAAGAACACTATTCGACGTGAACACTTCGATGAATTGCAGTGAATATTTGCCGCAGAAATGGTCACACTATCAAATATATGTTTTACAAAGTATTTTTAAAACGATTTTATTCGTTTTCTTTGATATTGTTCTCGCCTCTGTTTGTTGTAAATGCGAAGCATTCTTTGCGTACTGCAAGCACTTTTATCTATCTATCTATCTACTATCTATCTATCTATCTATCTATCTATCTATCTATCTATCTATCTCTATCTATCTATCTATCTATCTATCTATCTATCTATCTATCTACTATCTATCTATCTATATCTATCTATCTATCTATCTATCTATCTATCTATCTATCTATCTATCTATCTATCTATCTATCTATCTACTATCTATCTATCTATCTATCTATCTATCTATCTATCTATCTATCTATCTATCTATCTATCTATCTATCTCTATCTATCTATCTATCTATCTATCTATCTATCTATCTATCTATCTATCTATCTATCTATCTATCTATCTATCTATCTATCTATCTATCTATCTCTATCTATCTATCTATCTATCTATCTATCTATCTATCTATCTATCTATCTATCTATCTATCTATCTATCTATCTATCTATCTATCTATCTATCTATCTATCTATCTATCTATCTATCTATCTATCTATCTATCTATCTATCTATCTATCTATCTATCTATCTATCTATCTATCTATCTATCTATCTATCTATCTATCTATCTATCTATCTATCTATCTATCTATCTATCTATCTATCTATCTATCTATCTATCTATCTATCTATCTTACGACTTCTGGTGTTGCTAATATCCAAGTTACTATTGGCATCGTCAAGCAACTGTAAACAACTGCTAATATAAATCATATGCGGATGTTTAACGTGTATGTGTGTGCTTGGATTTGTACATAATATTGGATTGATTCATAAGCGATATTTAACGTCCCGAAAGCACCATATGATTGTGAGAGACGTCGTAGTGGAGGGCCCCGAATATTTCGACCGCCTGGGGTTCTTCAACGTGCACCCAAATATGTGCACATGGGCCTACAACATTTCCGCCTCCATCGGAAATGCAGCCGCCGCAGCCGGGATTCGATCCCGCGACCTGCGGGTGAGCAGCCGAGTACCTTAGCCACTCGACCACCGCGGCGGGGCGGTACATATATTTAGCGCCACTTCATAACGTCTGTCTCAATAAAAAAAAATGAAAACACATTAACCTTCCATCCACATGCTTCACATAACATCAATTTCCGAGGTACGTGAGATCTGCCGAAGTTTTTTTTTTCAGTTATACTGTACATTCCCGTTTCGTGTGTATACTCACGTAGTGTGGTCCCGGTGTAGGTGCAGTGTAGTTGCAGGTGTATGTGTCGTCCTTGTTGTCTGTCACCTTGGCTTGCACCTGCCGCTCCTTCTCGTCCGTGATCTTCACCTTGGGCTTGGCTGCACGTGGCGATGACACATAATGTCAATCACTCAATGACACACATAATCACGACGAAAAGTTAAGAAACACCCTTTTCTACAAGTCGTGCTATAACGTGCAACAGCTCACCTCTTGTCCTCTCCTTTGGGAAGCAAATAGGAAAAGATCAGTAAAAAAAAACAAGGGATAAGTATCTGTTCGTCTCTGAACCTGAGTGTTTTATGCCGTCATCAGTGCTTGGATGTAACTGGTGGAACTTTTGCCTTAGTTTTATTTGCAATGTTGGTGTATTCGATTGTTCTACGCGCCGGCACAAGGCAAGAGAGGTTTCACAATGAAACTGCAGCTTTATCGAGGTGAAATTCGTAAATAAATTCGAAACTCAGGGGGAAATAATGTACTAAGATGACCAAATCAGTTACGTAAATCTTGGATACGAAAAACCGGTGTCATTAAAAGGAATGTTGGTTTTCGTTCATAAATGATCTCGACACACAATTTTAGCAGCGACTACAGAAAGATGGGAAAGTGTCCCGTATTGTATAAGAGCGTCAGCTAACTATAATCCTTGAATCGAGCTAATCATCTGGAGCTAGTCTTGTTTTTCATCACAAGCCAACTGCAGCGCCCACTTCGTCACTGGAGGCTGCAAAATGATGGTTCCTTCTCAATAAGTGCTTGGTGTGTGTATCAGACTTTGCTCTTTTTTTTTACTCCATTTGTTGTTTGTACATGCTGTATATTTTCCGCGGTCTACTACAAACCAGAGTTAAGTTGTTAGTTAGCACCCGTGCTTCGGGTGCCTTGTGTCTGTCTTCGTAAAGTGTGCACTGTATTTACTCTTCGATGATCCCTAATCGTTTCCGAAAATTATTCCGGTTTGCCATTGGTATAAACGCTTTATCGGTTTTCACACGGTGTTCCTGCAATGTCTTGATGACCGCACCTTCCATATCACCGTTTGTGCTGTGCCCGAGGTTGACAACTAGAGCCGATGGCGACGGGGGCGCTCCCGCACATTGTCGCGCTGAGATTTGACTTTGCTACAGTGTACTGTAGTACACTGTACTACACTGTAGACTTTGCCAAGGTGCTCAATACCGGTCGGTCACGCCGCCACATCTTGGATGGCATAGCATCGACACCGCGTGTCACCGTTCGCCACCAGACTGCGCCGCCATCCCATTAGTCAGCATACTGACCTGCTTTCGACCTGATCAACGAAATTGCGATATTGCTTGCAATTTTGGCGTGTATGGATCGGTTCATGATAACTTGTCCGCCCAATTAAACAGGGAAACTAAACACGATAACGAAATGTTGTAGAGTAACAAAGGTGTTCTTTAAAGTGATATACTTTTACGATAAGCCCCTGGCTGTGCGGTGTGAAGTATAATGTTCGGACTCGTATGTTCATAAAAGAAACGTAGATGTGTGCATGGTTCCCCTTCAGAGGGGGGGGGTGAGGTGCTGTCTATTGTCGATGTGCAGCGCTCACTTCTCCCCCCCCCCAGGGGGGGGGGAGTGAGTTAGTACATAGGAAGAAGTCGTAGCCTTCTTCCTATCATGTCAATGGGGCTGACTTTGCACCCCTTTTCTTAAGTGGCCACCCCCTTGACCTTTTCATGCGCACGCTTACGTAAACGCATCGCTGAGCTCACCTAATATTATATTACCACACCATCTCTAGTTTCAGTGCAGAGACCCAGATCTGTTAGAGCCGTCTTGTGCCCCCCCCCCGGATTTTTTTTAAAGACGATAGTCTTTCTTGGGGACCTTCAACGCAAAAATTTTGGTCTGTCTTTCTGTCTGTCTGTACATTTGTCTGTTTGTCTACTCTGAACGGTCTTGGGTACTTGAAACGGCCGACCCCATCCGCAGCGCCCACCAATGTTGCTCAAGGTTTAGCGTTCATACTTGTGCAATCGTCAATGAATAAGCAATTATTGCGCAAGCCTGGGGCACCATAACAATACGTATATATTCTGCATGTGCACCTTTTAATAGAAAATTCATACATAAGTAATTTTAGGACCGTAGCGCTTATCCCGCTGTGCTGACCACTCTACGCTTGTATGAAATGATGAGTGTTTCCAACGCTTTGCTAAGACGCGATGGTGGTGGCACCTACCCGTCGCCTTGCGTTTCTCACCTTATCGCCTTTGAGACGGGCGCGCACCCGTCTCAGCGCTTTGTTTTGCAAGAAGAGTGCCAGGTGGCGCTCATGTCTCACGTGTGACGTGACTTAACGCGCTCGTTCGCCTCCGCTGCAAGCTCAAGGTACTCTAACGCAGCGCCTCCAAAATACCATTCACCGGTTTTCTTGCGTAGAGCATAAAATTAATTGTTCACTCTCTCCCCACGCAAGACTATCGCCTTTCGACGACATTTGCAAATTGAATGCAGATACGGGGCCATTTTTTTGCGTGTTTCCGCGATGATTCTCACTTTGTTTGCACCTTTCGTGTTAGAGGTAATGAATTTCTTTTTTTTTACCTTTTCCAGCAGCCTTGCAGTCAATGTAGAACTTTGTTGGTGTCTGTGACGTCACGCCCTTCTCAACGCCAGGACCATAGACGCGCACTTTGCCTGGGTCAGTGTTGTCAGCCACGTTGACCTGGTCAACGCAAACAGAAAAAAGATAGCGCTATTACTTCGCCAGGAAGTGGCACATAACGCCAGCTGTGAGACGACCAAAAGTAGTGACTCGTTTAGCGGATATGCTGGGTGTATAGTGTTTCATATTTCCGCTTATGATGCCGAATTTCACAGCGGAGCTGTATATTCCGAGAATAGTTGTCCGTTTGTGTAGAGAAACTACCAGAGCCGTTTAGGGAGCCGTAAAATAACTACTGTGTATTGAAGCAAAACGAACTACTGCGCAGACATCAAAAGTTGCGATCTTTTATCGGATTTTCTTTTACGGCGAGATCATTTTTGTAAAAGCTAGGCATCCATGGGCATACTCGTGCAGACCCATATTCAAATTCAAGCTCTGAGGACACACATAAGGCATGTGGCCCGGACTCCCCGCCACCACCTAAGCTAGCTCGCTACCAGCGAATAGGCCTCATACTTCCTTTTGTCCAACAGTAACTGCACATGGCGACTCTCTACCAACTGGTTTTACGCCCGTGGCGAGACCTTCAGTTCCTCCATGGTGCCTCAAACAGCCACTCATCATCCTGACAATACCAGGCATCCAGAAAAAACGAGATTTGTCAATATCAGCCCTCAAGCAGCTCGCCTTACTTGTGCTGTACGAAAAGTACCAAGACTGCAACCACGCCTACATCGACGGCTTCGTCCTGCCAAACAGCTCAACAGCGGCGGTCTTTATTCCAACGCACGCCACAACCATCGAATTCAGGACAACTCATGCAACCACATCAACGGCAGCAGAGCTTGCAGCGCTTCGCGCTGCGTTGCGTTTCATTAAACCAAAGCACGCAGCGGTGGACGATCTTCTGCGACTGCAAGGCGGCACTGCAGTCACTTCTGTCAAATCTACGGCGTGACGGCGTGGTCCGCACGAGCAAGTGGTATTTGAGACGGCAGAAATGCTACACCATATAACAGAGAAAGGGCACCACGTTATATTTCAGTGGTTGGCAAGTCACTGTGAAATTATCAGTAATTAACGGGCTGATCAAGCTGCCCGTTCAGCCCATACAGAAGACAACGACCAGTCAATACATCTCTCTAGGACGGACGCTGCTATCAGGCTACGCATGTTAGCTCGCCAATGCTCCATGTCACTTTGGAATGAGCCTCTTATTGCGCATGAAAGATTACGATCCCTTGATCCTACGTTAAGCTTACGGCTTCCAACAAAATTTCGACGATGTGATGCTACTGCTCTGTGCAGACTATGGTTGGGAGTCGAGTTTACCCGTGCGTACGCGTTCCGCGTAGGGATGGCCGACACCGCCGCCTGTGCACACTGCGGAGATGAAGAGACAATTCGACACGTCCTCTGTGACAGCCCGGAATATAACCTAGAAGGACAATACCGTTCTAATACACTAAACAAGTTAGATGAGCAGCCGCTGTCAGAAGAAAGTATACTGCGCCACCGTCATGACTCATCATCACAAAAGAAGGCCGTGCAAGCGCTACTGGGCTGTTTGCGAACTACTGGCCTGAAGGAACGCCTCTGAGTGGACTCATTTCGTGTGTGCGTGTGTCCGTGTTTTGCTCTTATTTATTTGTAACCCTCGCTCTTTCAACCCTCTATCCCTCAACCCCAGTGTAGGGTAGCATACCGGATCGCATCTGGTTAACCTCCCTGCCTTTTTTCTCGTTTTTTTTCCTCTCTTTCTCTCTGAAACGTTGAGAAATGACATTCATTTATGGGCTTTTTCGCCCGTTGTATATGCTCGCTCCACCATGCCGTTGCTGTAAGAAGCACAAGTGCCAGGACAGAGAACACTGAAGAAAGTGTTTCCTCTGCATCCAGTACTCTCCAGAGGCGTCTCTTAAGTGTGTCTATGCCTTCGTACTTGGCTTGGTACGTCTAACCCTAATACAAGCATGGACTTGAATTCCACCCTTCACTCGAGCGAGCTGAACAAGACGCCCCCGCTTGACTTTATTTGACGCAGTGGTTCTCACAAAATGACGCCGGCTGTTGCTCATATGCAGCTTAGTCCACAATACGCCCGTCCTAACTTCAAACGATGGAAAGCTACCCCGAGAGTTATCACACGTCTTTTTTTTTTTCGCAGTTTCTTGCTCGTAAGTTCTGCACGCTTCCAGCGCTGATTTCGTGAGCTTCCCTATCTTTCACTCATCGAGCAATATCGAGCGTAGTTGCAGTGCCCTCTGGCGTCGAGACGCTGAAGTAACGCCATGTAAGATGAAGCTCACCCTCCGCATGGGACACTACTCTTGGCCGTCTGACAGGTGTCCAGGTCTGCATGCCTGACAGGAATAGCATACACCTGTCATGACAAACGAACAGGCAATGCCAGGCACACATCATGCAGGAGGACGATAACGTAGCGCGTTCACACGAAGGAACATGAGATCGCAGATGCTTGCGCAGGCGCAGGCAGTAGTTGGAAAAGAAGGGAAGCAGGGCAACAAGCAAGCGAAAGCTCTTATATGAAAGCAAGGCGGGGTTTGTGCATGCACTTCTGCAAGGTGCACACCGGAAGCTTTCGAGTGAAACATTGGAGTTAAACATTGCTAGTTAACTTTAGGAAGGGTGCACATGATTCACGCTACGATAAATGAAGGGTTTGTGTCAACTATGAAGAAATAAAGCAAATCCTTAGCCAGCAGTGCTCTTAACTATAGTTTCGTTTTCTCGGCACATTCTGTCTGCGTTGTGAGAACTTTTTTTTTTATTTGAAGGGACACTAAAGACTTTTTTTTCACGCTTGTAAATTACTCTTTCACAATCCGGCAGCCACCACGCTCTCCGCGAGAAGTGAGAAAGCGTGGATGACGAAGCCACCTTCAAGTTTCCGAATCAGCCACCGTGACACGATATATTTTCACGGCGTCTACTATAGGGACTATGTAGTTCCTAATTGGTAAAATTAGAGTAGCATTGTTTTTCTGAGACAGCCAGAGACTTGCCATGCATACAAAGTATCAGGAAATTTCTTCCCAAAAAAATAAAACGTCATTAAAATGTGTTATATAAACTTTGATCGTCAAGGTTTCTTCCCGGCGCGAAGATATCGAGCAACGCGAAGATTTCGGGGCGAAACTTGATGAAGGAACTTTGACCTCGACACTCTTCCCTATTAGTAAACCAATCACGAAGAAATCAACAACACTGGAGTTCTTAGGGTACAATTTCTTAATATAAACCGATTCATTTTCACTTCACTGTCCCTCTAAGTACAGAATGATGCGTTAAGTTCTTTGCGTTTGCAAGCACAGCTAGCACTTGGCAGCGCATGCGGGGGAAATACCCGAAAAGGTGAGTACGGAAGAGGACAGGTTAAGTGTGAGGAAGCGAATGAGAAAGTAGAGACAGCATGCTGGGGACCGCGGTGCGGAAAGAACCGAGAGAAGAGAGTGGAAGCGGAGGCGCTACCCGGAAGGGGCTTCCGGGCACGGCGACGCAGGAGTAGTTGACCTGCACCGTGTGCTTGTCGTTGGACTCGGGCTTGTACGTGCACGTGTACGTGTCGTCGCCGTTGTCCTTGACCTTGACTTCGACGGGCTTGCTCTGAGAGTCGGCCACGATGACCTCGAGCGGCGCCTTGCCACCGGCTTGCCGCGCGTCCACCGTGAACTGGGTCGGCTGGCCCTGAAGCACGCCCGTCGGCTGCAGTCCGGGACCGCTGGCCACCACCTGCAGCGATGAAGCATTGTACACGTGTTACTGAATCATACGTTGAAGGCAGGCAGCTGGGGAAAACAGACACAGAGCTGCTTTCAGTATTGAAAGAGTTTCAGAAAATTGTTTGTTGTTTCTTTGTCCTTAAGGTTTAGCCGACACGAGCATTCCATGGCGATACGACCATTCGTGGCGTCGGTAAAACGTTACGGCAGGGCTACCGTGAGGCCGTGGCATATTACGCCCGCCCGTTCACGAAAAACGCGTGTTACTATCACGGCTGCACAGAAACGCAAGCATCAAAATCGTAGTCATCATCACCAGTATGTTTCATTTTTTTTTTCTTTTCCTTCGGTCATGTGACCTTCGTGACTCCTACTGCTACTACTACGATAATAACGTCAGAAAGTAGACTAGACATCCTCGCTATAAAGATTAGGTACACAGAAAACAACTTAAGAGAAGAGAAACATGTGAAGAAGAAGAAGAAGAATAACTTTATTTATGAAGTCCAGCGAAGTTGATTTGGGGCGGGCCTAGGCGTCGGCCACGAGCCCTTGGGCTCGGGCGGCTTCCTCAGCTCGCTGGACGGCCCACAGTTGTTGTTCGAATGAGGAGCTGAGCAGAGCCCCCTCCCAGCGTGTCCTGCGGTCCGAAACTGCCTCTTCGTGGTTTTCATCGTTGCTTTCATCTAAACTCGAGCATTCCCATAGTATATGTGAAAGTGTCGCCCTTTCATCGCAAACCTTGCATTTTTCTGTTAAATACAGATCAGGGTAACAGAGACTAAAGAGAACTGGATTCGGATAAGTATATGTTTGCAGTTGTCGCCACGCAACTGCCTGTTTTTTATTTAACCTGTTGTGTGGCGGAGGGTACTTTCGCCTTTCTAGCTTATAGTGCTGCGTTATTTCGTGGTAACTAGTCATGCGGTCCCCCCACTCCCACTCCCCCCCGCGTGGAACTTCGTCCGAGGCGGCGTCGGCGTTCGCAACGGCTCGGTTCGTGAGTGCTCGAGCCGCCGCGTGCGCCGCCTCGTTGCCGGCCAGCGGGGTTTGTGTGTGTGCGGGGGTCCATATGACGAAAGTGTCATTTTTTTCCCGAATTTTGTCTTCGTTAGTCATTAGGATTCGCAGCGCCTCTCGGGAGACACGACCGTTCGCATAGTTGCGTATCGCTGCTTGCGAGTCACTAATTACTACTTCGGCCTCAGTGGTCGCCACCACATGTGAAACCAACTAATTTTATCGCGTATGCATGCGTATGTACTATCCGCGTCAAATGAAATCCAAACAGCGGCAAGCCTTCGTGATGGTATAGTGCGCACCGCCCAGTTATCACTATGGACAGGCACACATATATGCGCAGAGCTGCCGAACAGGATGCCTGCGCCTGTCAATGGCGATGAGATAACTGGACGGTGCACACTATATCCAAAGGCTTGCCACTGTTTTGGTTTCATTTGACGCGGATAGCACATCCGATTTATTCTGTGAATAATCCCCTCGGGAAAGCTTCTACTGTCCTCTTCATTAGCCTCATTTATTGCACTAGTGCTGAGGCTTCTACAGAATGGTACATTAAGACCATCGTGGAACATATTTAAAAGTCTTTGAAAATGGCGATGCTTCAACGTCCCCGTTCCTAAACTCGACCACGCTTGAACAATTATTAAACTTGCCTTGTCCGGCTGAACGGTGCTCTGTGGCAGGATGTTGGCGATCCAGGGTGACTTGGGAATGTCCTCGCCATTGCAGAGGACGTGAACGGCGTACTCGCCGGGCGCCGTGGGGAAGTACTTGACGTCGGCCGATCCGTCGCCGTTGTCGTAGCACTCGATCTTGGCCTTGGAGGGACCCTCGATGGCGAAGCCCAGCTGACCCGTCTCGCCATTCGTGTCCACAGTGAAGGTGGCCGGATAGCCGACCAGACCTCCGTGCAGGCCGGGACCGTAGGCGACGATCTTGGACTCCTTGTAGGGCCCCACGTTCACCTCGTACGGACTGCGAGGGATCTCCTGGCCACCGTACGAGATCATGACCACGTAGCGACCCTCCTTGGACGGATGGTAGTTGCACTCGAAGGTCTTGTCCGGCTTTGGCGTGATGTTCACCTTCTCGACACTGCCACCTGTAGCGTTGATAGAAGCGAGGGTTCAGTTGTTCCCGTGTCAGTTCATCTGCCCAATGATCGAATTATATTGGTGAAGACTGGTGTTCCTAAAGCTGAATGTAGTGCTTCGACGAAGGCCATAATTAAAAACTCTGATATGATTGCTGATTAATTAACCAAGCTATAGTTATGAGAGATGATGTTGTGAAGGTCTCTAAAAATTTCGAGCACTTGGGATTCACGAACGTGTGCAAAATGTAAGCGTGCACCTCAGTAATTTTCGCCTCCATCGAAAATGCAGCCGCAGCGGCCGGGATTTGATCACGTAACCTTGGGGTCAGCAGTCGAAAATCATAATCAGTAACGCCATAAGCAAAAATGTTATCACGTTGCCTCCTTTAACAGAGTCTTATATCTATGCGCAAAACTATGCGTTCATACTTCTATTCTGTCCCTGTCAGAATATAGCCTCCGGGATAAAGAGCCGATCGTTCCAAATCTGCTAAAGTTGTATAGCAGCTCGCGTGTGACAAGCCGCTGAAGTGAGTCGTTAAAAATAAAAGAAGACTATCTTAGAAATTCGCGCGTGTATTATATTTGTTTCCCAGTTTACACTTATCGAGTTGTTCGCCACACTAGCGGCTGCTTTATGTTTCTATTTCAGGTGTTAGTTCAATTGACCTAGTTTGAAAATAGAGTACAACAACTGTAAATTTTATACTCATGAGCTATTAAACAATAAAAAGGCATCCAGTTCACGATAAATTTATATAAAAAACACAATAAACACGCTTTGTTTATTCAAGCTGGAAAGATCGCGTGAGTTTTTGTGTCAGTGACCAGGGAGATACGTTAAATTCACTTATACTTACTTTATTAATTGCTCAAACACCAGAAAGATGACGATTAGGTTGTATTTTTTCTGCACGAAAAATTTAAAATAGAACGAGACAAAGCTAAGCCATGAACTTGGCGTCCACGTGTGAACAACAACTAGCGCGCTCAATGACGACGGTTGGCTTCACTGCAACGTGTTCAGTACTGCGGTGAAGCCAAACTTTATTACCAAGTTTCTAGAAGAGCAGTTTGCCTTCCAAGAAGATGCACAATTCGGAAATTGAACAGCTGATTTTCTACAGAATGACCATCCGATTTTAAGGAGCTTGATTCTTACCAGAACAGACTTATTTAATTGTTTATTGGGATGAAGCTGCATAGATATGCTCTGTTCAGCTGGCTAGAACGAGGCCGAAGCTTTGTTTTCCTAACTACGATCGTTTACTTACATTTCACTGAAATATTTACTATCTTTGCAAATATAGGTTCTCAATTAGGTCTGGAGTGTCTCTAAACTAAAGGTTCAGAAATAATTTTGAGAGTTTATTTGAAGAAATAAAAGCTCGGACATAATATGCGCCACCAGAACAGATCGAAATACGAACAAGCGTAGTAAGTTGCCTTCGGTATAAACAGCGCCCGATAATATATAGCCCGACACACATAAAGAACTCCAGCGTGAAGCAATGAACACGGGTATTTTAATTAGCTTTTATGTGTCATGACTGAATGTTACAGCGCGTCAAGGTTGACAAGGTCATCTATGCCATTGTTGAGATTTGGAGAGTCATAAGCGGACTAGAAGTAGTTGCCCCGTAGAACGTCATTTTTACGTCAAACGTACCACGTTGATCAGTTAACCTGAAGCTCGATGTGATGTACGGCACACTCAAACAGAAGACCGGTCGCATTTCTTAATACGACAGCAGCCTGAATATGTTGAATCGCAGCCGCGACGCGAACCCGCAAAACGCCGGCGAATGCACGTGTTTCGATTAGTTGTGGTAGCACTTACCGCTAAAACTCTGCTGTAGGTTCAGAATTTTTGTCTTTCGCAACGAAACGCAACGGCGCATATTTGAAAAAAATAGCAGCTGCTGGAGCGTGAACATGCGAACAAAGGGAAATACGTACCTGGGCCTAGCACCTTGATTTGTAGTTCGCCTTCGCCAGCGTTCTCCGTGAACACCTTGAAGTCGGCCACGTCACCCACACGGACGCCGTTCTTCTGCAGACCGCGACCAGAGGCACGGACGCGACGAGGGTTGCAAGCTGCACGAGCAAGAACAGAGCGGGAAATCGCACTTCCTCCGCCGTCTTGGTTAGCAAACACAAGCAGCGCCGGTGCTGACACGCACTGACGTATACGCCGGGAAGAACAAAACATTGTTCTCCCGTCGAATGAGCCTCAAACGGCGCACGCAACTGTGTAGGTGTGTCGCAAGGCTGACAGAATGTATTTCACGTGTTATTGGTATGCAGCGATTGATTGCTGTAGCGCGTTAACAATTAGATGTTCAAACTTTATGTATAGACAATTTAACTATAAGGCATGCGAGCGCCGCCATCTTGGGCTGCTAAGTCGATGTTTTCTTGTTTTCGTTAAATGCGACGTGAATTAATAAGACCATGAAACATCGTATGCCCCAACTCGACTATTTTCATCCGCATGCGTCAACCGTCACGCTGTTCGTTTAGGTGCTAAAGATACAAAACACAAAGTTCAGCAGTCCAAGATGGCGGCTCTGAAACCCCTTTGTACAATAGTCGATATAATGCACCAAAGTGGTGTCTACGAAAAGAACGCAGGAGCTCAAGATTACCCACGCGATTGTCTACATAACTGAGTTTGAGAATGTTGCCTACTGCCGCATGATTGTGTACGTAGTTTTTCTCGTCGAGCTCATCTTTCTCTGTCAACCCTTCACCTCACACTTATCTATTGTACAGGTGGTCGTCCACGATAGTCCCTCGTTAAAATATAGCCATGCCTTTTTGTAGATACTTCTTTTCTCTATTACACTGAAATGCTAAGAACCTGGAGCAATATGACAAGCGACAAACCAGGCTATCATCGGGAGCTAACGAATATTATAAAAGTTTATTACTCGCTCTGTTATTTTTTTACCTTGTTTGTTCCTGTTTTACACTGAACCAGGGCTACTTGACTGAGTAATTATTCGGTCTGTTGCTCTTTGCGAACGAATATGAAGTCGATAAACGGGTTTGATAAAAATCCAGCTTCACAAGAATGTAAATAATCCTGGGTTGACAGGATTATTTACATTCTTTTTCTTTAGCTGAAGGAAATACTATCCGGCAAAATGAGCTCTCAGCATCAGTCAGGTTAAAGACGGCCAAACACGCATAAAATACGTACGTGGTCCAACGTTGACCTTGAAGGGGCTTCCGGGCACGGGACGTCCGGCGAACAGGACATTCACCTGGTGCGGTCCTTCCATGGAAGGCACGTACTCGCAGTGGTGCTCGTCCTCGTTGGTCTTCTTCACACGACACGGGATGGTGTTGCGGCCGCCCTTTGGGTCCACGATCTCCACCTCCACCTGGCCCTTGCCGGCAGCTGCGATCGGCAATGAATCAACTCACTTCCGGTTTCGGAAACGGTGCACTAACATTGTAGCGAAATGCGAACATCTGCACTCACAGCACACGCCGAAGAATTGAAGATAAATGTTGTAAGGTTGCAAGGTGGGTTTGTTGGATGTGGCTTTCGGTAGAGAATGTAACACTGCTCGAACGCAGGGTTGCGAAACTTTATTGAGGTCCTGCAAGGCGCGCGTCAGCGCGCAGCGGGCGTCTCCCACGTCGGGACCGTTAGGCCAAGCCTATCGGCCGCTCCGCGGGCCTGCTGGACGGCCCAAAGTTGGTCGGCCAGGAGGGAGCTGCGAAGGGCCGCCTCCCACCTGACCGATGTAGTGTTGGGGTTAGTGTACATTGCCTTGCACTCCCAGAGCATGTGCGCCAGCGTGGATACATCCCCACATTCGGGGCAAGCGTCATTGGGGAACACGTCAGGATAAATAGCGTGAAGGGATCTCAGGTTAGGGTACGTGTCGGTCTGCAGTAGTCGAACGCAGGGAAAAACAAATAATAACTGACGACAGGAGAGCCCTCTATTTGCGCGACAGCGCAAGCTCGTTTCAAAGAAGTTTCGGTTTTCGGCGTTTTTGACTGTGAGCAAAAAATCACCGTTGTCCGTGAGCGAGAATTCCAGATAGATGCAAATGAATGAATGAATGAATGAATAGGTAAATAAATAAATAACTAAATCAAATTTTTGGTTAACACGGGAATAGGGTCTAGGACTTCTGCCGGGTAAGCAGCTGTTCTAGCACAAAGCTAAGTTATAGCTCGGAACTGTGTCGAAAAACCTAAGAAAACTGTATGAATGTTTGCATGCAGTGTGCGAGGAGTCTCCTGAATGTAATATTGCGGGGGCAGGCGCGTAGAATCTGACCAGATACTAAAACATGTGAAATTCGTTGCAGAACGAGCTTGCAGTTCTCATAGTTACAAAGGGTTCAGACACATCGATCGTCATGTCATCGATCGTCATGTCGGTGTGCATGTGCAGTACGGGCGTGGAGTGGGTACCTTGCTGAATCGTAAAAGGGGGAATCAAGACATGTGGACGCACACCAACTGTACTGGCAGCAGGCATTGTGCCATAGCTTCAAACGAACAATGTTACTCGCACAAATGTTCCTCTCCTTTCGGCATCGTTGATGAGGCCAAGGCCCTTTCAAGACGATTCTCAGTGCGAAAGCACTGAGAAGAGAAGCCAAGTTTGTGATTGAGAAGGCAATGCGAATGGCAGTGTGAATGGCGATGCGAAGTTCCTCATTTATACACTTGAACATGATGAAATCAACATTTTAAAGCCGTTCTGCGGCGCTAAACGCAACAAACCAATAAATGATCTTCCTTTGTGTTTCAAGTGTGCGTTGCTTGATCTTTACCAAATGAAGGTTTACCTTTGCTGAGACATGTTTTTTTTTTTCCTGGTTCTGAACTTCGATCGCGAAAGCGCGCTGCTCTTATTCGCGTACCTTTGCTGAAGACGTCGAAGTAGGTGGGAACTCCAGCGCTGACACCCGTAGGTTGCAGACCCGGACCGCTGGCTTTGACCTTAGTCGGGTCCCCGGCGAAGCCCTCGACTTTGACGGGGAACGGGCTCTTGGGCACCGCCTTCCCGGCGAACTGGACGTGCACCTTGTGAGGTCCCTCCTTGAGGGCGGTGTACGTGGCTGTGTACGTCTTTGCCTTGTCGTCGTTGTAACGAATGTCCACCTGCGACGCAGTACACAGTACCTGAGATAGCTTGTGAACAATTATCAGTTCTTTAATACCTTTTATTTAAGTTGATGATCTGACGAAATTCGGTCTGGTCGGGATGGAACGTTGGTGAAAGAGCACTGAAGGACACCGACTAAGGTGGGAAATATTCACGGGCGTTTCAGCTCCAACGCGGAAGCCGAAACGGCACTAAATATTTTTCACCTTTGTCGGCGTCCATCAATGTTTTCACCAATACTGAAGGTCTACTCACCGTTTATTTTGTTCGTGTGTGACTTTTCACACGTCAACTTTTGTTGACGTGTGACTATTCACCGTTTATTTTGTTCATTCAAAACGTTCTTTTCATGTTTAGCGTGCACGGGCGTAGCCAGAAAATCATTTCGGGAGGGGAAGGGATTCTTCAACCATACGTTGTGTACGTTCGCGCATGCGTTTGTATGTGTGCGTGCATACATACGCAAGCGAAATTTATATATTTCGCGAGGGAAGGCTCAACCTCGCCAATCCCCTTTGGCTACGCCCCTGTTAGGATGTATAGCGCGGTTTGCGGCCCGTGCATTGAGCAGCTGTGCTTCAATGAACTTGGGGAATGTTAAAGCTTTCCATCGTTACGTTGATTGGTGTTGTCCGAGTAGCCTGTGAGCAGACGCTCTATATTTCTTTTTGTATTGAGTATCTTATGAAATGCTCTTTTCTTTGATGGGGTGTTTGAAAACTCAATAGAATTAACGTACGAAAATATAACAGACAGTGTCTGAAGTCTTCAGTCCCTAAAAGGCCCAGAACCTTCTAGAGCTTGCGTTGTTAATACATTTTTTAAAATTATTCATTAGGTATTCCCCCAGCATGCTCCAATCGTGATTTCTGAATAAAGAAGGCCAATCTTAATAATCTTTATTTCTTTACATTTTACAATAAGATCGGCATTCACTTTTGAACACCATTAATCGCAAGATGGTTGCGATGCAACACAAGATCAATAATGCATGACAAGCAAGAGCGTCCGAAATTCTTTGATTTGTGTTGCGTCGTCTCTATGTTGCCTAACAATGAAGAAACTATAGCCAAACGAATCATTTTCATAATTTGTTCCAATAGTGAAATTTCGGGTACACCTAAAGAAAATTGTCACCAGGGAGAGGAAAAGCGGAGAGATACATGAAAGGGTATCGTATCGTCGGCAGTAAGACTGATTTGGATGAGTTCGTCCGCAGTTCAAAAGTGCAGCGCCAATGGTACAGGACAGAGAAGGAATACACAGCAACATCGCATGCGCAAACTGTTGTCAGCCAGCGCTTCTGATGTGTGTTTTGTATGTCTCCTGTTTTATTCGCGCTGTGCTTTTGAAAGTATCGTTAGGTGACTTGAGCTCGTCTGTGACCATTTTCGGGACAGACTAATGGCCAAATGTGTCAACTTTGCGATTGTCCGGGATCAGGCATACTTCTCTTCTCTTGTTGCATAACAAAAACGAAGAAAAGACTTGTGAAACTCACGGGAATCTTTTGTCCTCCGGGAGCGTCGACGTGAGCCTTGACCTCGCCCTGACCAGCACTGAAAGTCTCCACGGTGAAGGTGGTCGGCGCTCCGACGACCACTCCCGTGGGCTCGATACCGGGGCCGTAGCAGCGCACGCGAGCAGGGTTCGTCTGAAGCCTCAGTGGCGCCTTGTCCTTCAGCTTGGCGTTGGGGAACTGCGAGGAACGAATGCTCGATTGGTCAGGGGGTACGGCGAACAACAACAACAACAACAACAACAACAACAACAACAACAACAACAACAACAACAACAACAACAACAACAACAACAACAACAACAACAACAATAACAATAACAACAATAACAACAACAATAACAACAACAATAACAACAACAACAACAACAACAACAATAACAACAACAATAACAACAACAACAACAACAATGACGACGACGATGACAACAACAAACAGGGTCCCTGATCGTATCAGCTAAAACGACTCGAAAGAGAAAGCCATTCTTTTGTGTGTTTAGAAAAAGTGGTTAACGATTTAGAGTACTAGGTACTCTACTATGGGAGAGCCTAAAGCCGTCCAATAAGCATTTAGGGGCCAAACTCTTTATAGCGGCACCCGTTCGTTCCTCGTAGCCGTTGTAGTAGTGTGTAACAAGTATAACATTTTGACCTCCAAGGTGGTGCCGGTGAGAGATTTTTTCTGTGCGTTGTTTAACAATAAAAAATAGTGCTCAATGTACATGCCAATGGCTGCTAATGGGGAATGAGAGACAGGAGCATTCGGCTTTTAGTCAACACGCACGCTGCGATCCCCATTAGCAGCCGTTGGCATGTACATTGAGCACTATCTGACAAGAAAGGGTTGCTACGTTATACTCGCTGGGTGTAACCTCCTTGGTTTTAGAAAGGTTTAGCGAGCGTTGAGCCGCAATGCCATGAATACAAGGAACTAGTACGTACCATGAACTCGAGGTGGTTAAAGGTGGGAAGTAGATACGAAGCGCAAGCCGTAAGAAAGTAAAAGCCGAATTCTCCGCCTCTCATTTCCCATTAGCAGCCATTGGCATGTACATTGAGCACTATCTGACAGGGAAAGGTTGCTTTGTCATACTCGCTGGGCGTAACCTCCTTGGTTTTCGAAAGGTTTAGCGAGCGTTGAGCCACAGTGCCATGAATGCAATGAACTAGTATATACCATGAACTCGAGGTGGTTAAAGGTGGGAAGTAGACCCGAAGCGCAAGCCGTAAGAAAATGTGCGTGTGCCACCTCTAGTTTAGTCCTTGGAATGTCCGCTGGATGGCGGTGCTTCTATATGGGGAATATATGATGAAAAGATGAGAGATGGTGGTACTTGGAGTGTTGAATAGATGGACGAACAGACACACAGACAGATGCATGGATGGACGCATGAACGTACGCAGGGGCGGATGCATGGACGAACGCAGCGATGGACGCACGAACAGACACACGCACAGAGGGGCGGATGGACGCATGCAAGGTCACATAGACGGACGAATGGAAGCAAGAACGAATGGACGGACGAATGCTTCGCCCCACTATCCATCATTCACTCCGTGGATATGCAGCCATTTTTTTTTCTTCTCACTCGGTGTATCAATTCCCCGCATTCCGCGAAAGTTTTGGGCACCTAACGTGGAACCATTGCCTCAACAATTGGAGGCATTCCAAGCATTGGGCACCTCACCTGGTTTTGCACTGTCTCTGTGATCGGCCCCCATTTGACCAAGCGACGACGTCATGGGATGACATCGTGTGACGCCGATTTATATGTTGGGTTTAACGTCCCGAAACCGCCATATGCTTATGAGAGACGCCCTAGTGGAGGGCGCCGGAAATTTTGACCACCTGGGGTTCTTTACCGTGCACCCGAATCTGAGCACATGAGCCTCTGGTCTTGTAGTCACCATTAACTTGCCAGATGCTCGGGATTGACATCTACGGCGCAACGAGCAGCACATTTCTTACTTCTTAATTTGATGGAGGCGAAATGGTACAGGCTCGTGTATTATGCAATTGCGGTGCACTTTAAGGGCCACTAGATGGTCTACATTGCCGGAGCCCTCCACTACAGTGCCCCTCACAATCATGTAGTGGTTTTCAGACGTTAAACTCAAGGTAATATTATTATTACTGTTATTACTTCTCAATGCTTACGTAGTTTAATAAATAAACACGTTACGTCATAAGAAGGCATCGTATGTAAAACACGTGTTTCAGTGCGCGAACCTTCCGCCGATGGCGTTTTTTAGGAAACTAATGCGAGGACGGAAACAGTGGCCGCACACCTGTGAGAGGTAGGTCATCATGGACAGCTCGTCCACCTTGGGGTTGACCATTTCCTCAGGCGTGACGAGTTGGGGCACGCCCAGCCATTCGGAGGCCAGATCCATGGCTTCCTTGGCATTGCGCAGGGCGTTCTTGGGGTCCCAGCTGGCCCAGTCTGGACACAGGCCCGGGGCGAGGGCGTCCACCAGAGCGCCCACGGCCTGCAATTAGACGGAACTCGAATGAGACAGGTTCTAAATGGTTTTGGAACGTGTTCATTTACAACGCTTACGAAGCTTGGTTTACAAGAGGGTGATGGCTAACTGCAACGTTTTACAGGCACCGCGTGCCAGTTACAAAATACAGTGCGATGACGGGAGCTTAGGTCACGTAATTGCTGTCTTTTATGCATACCACGTTGCGCGGGGTTGTGTTGACAGCTCGTCAAACTCAGCACACTGTGAACGGGGGAACGTATTCGATTCCGTAAATAAACAGTAGCTGAGATCACGGCGTCAACACGTTTTTCTTTCTTAACACCAACATTACTACAGTCATTTTTATGGAATGTACTTGCTGAAGTTTCACCCGATACTCGATATATGGCTTGCCTATGATGCCTCAAAAGTTATCTGTTCTTCTATTCAGAGGCAACCTGTTCTCTGATTTTCCTGAAGGGTAGAAAAAGACAATAAACAGAAATGTTTGAAGAATACTATTGAACACATCGTTTGAAATTCGACGTGGAACACGCATACGATCGCCCCGATTTCTAGAGGCTACAACATTGACGTGTAACATTGGTTTGTTTTCTCGTAACCATGCTTGTAGATGTTCCTAACTGCATGCACACCAACAAAATAATGTTAATAGCTCTCAAGGCATTAAGCAATAAATGTGTAGAATTTGTCGGCAAACAAAGGCTGAGCCCCGAGGACGAACGTTGATGTCCTTAGTGACCTAAGTTAATGAAACAGGAATGGAGAGCAGATAGGATGAACAGTTAGGTTGTTTCCTTATTGCGAACACGAATGCTTATTGAAGACACCGGCCAAGCCCATGGAGGTGTTCAATCTCTCGAGGAACTGAGGTATCATGCGTGAATTGTGCAGACCGTGAAACAGGTGGTGCGTAACGTCACGTACCTGTCCATCGTTCCAGTCTGAAGTGAAGTTGTTGATGGGCTTGTCAGGCAGCTTGCTCTGGATCCACCGGAGCAGTCTCTGCTTGGGTGACGGGCCACTCTTGTCGAAGGCCGAATCGTCGTCGCCCTCCCACATGGGCAGCGAGATGGAGTAGTGCAGAATGAGCGTCCATATCAGACCCAGGATCAGCTTGAGCTTGCAGTCGACGATGTCCGAACTGTCTGCATTGAGAAGCACGAAGATCGACAGTCAGTCCTGGTGTCTCCCAGAGGCACTCTTATTGCACTACACCGATAACCCTTCGTCTCTAAGTGCTCATGAACACGGGAATCGCTCAGCATAGTTCGCTCGTTCCGAGACTAACCTAAAATTCAATCCATCGCATTTGCTTGTTCTCCGACTCTATGAACACGCGAATGAACTCAAGAAACCAAGTTTGATTGATTGATTTGATTGATATGTGGGGTTTAACGCCCCAAAAACACCATACGATTATGAGGGACGCCTTAGTGGAGTGCTCCGGAAATTTCGACCACCTGGGGTTTTTTAACGTGCACCCAAATCTGAGCATACGGGCCTACAGAGTTTTTGCCTCCATCGAAAAAGCAGCCGCAGCTGGAATTCGATCCCGCAACCTGCGGGTCAGCAGCCAAGTACCTTAGTCCCTAGGCCACCCCGGCGAGGAAAAGGAACCATGTGTAGATGCGAAGCACCGGACGCTAAAGCTTACACTGGCAGGCGATGTTGACGCTGGCGGTCATCGCGGCGTTGCGCAGGAGAAAAACCTGGAGAGGCGCAAAGCCCGAAGTGATGGACCGGTGTTGTCTACTGGAACATGCCAATCACTGGCAGTGAGAGACAGAAGACTCCGATTGGACACGGAGACCCGCAGTCCACTATTACTGTACGTGCACGCTGGTAATTCTTATTGTTCAACAACACAAAAGGAATCTCAAACAACTGAGGTCAAGATTCAGTGCTTATATAAACGGGTTGGCCAGTGAACGGTTTGTTTTGAAATTAAGAAACTCGCTAGCAGACGCTGCCTGCGTCGGCGTTGCTAGGCGAGAGAGGGTGTGGGAGCATAGGAGAGGAGAGGGAGAGAGAGTGAAGTAGGCGCATGCACAGTGGAGCGCGGACGCCACCGGGTCATACTCGCTCATAAGATGCTTCGCATTAAAAAAAAAAACAAAGCAACCATAAGTGAGAAATATATGTAGGAGCAGAAAGCCATGCACCGCAAAAAAAAAAACAAAAACTGGGATAATTCCGGGCAGTGAAAACCGTCACACTGCGAAATTGTAAACGCTAGAGTATGTAAAGGTAAGCTAGGGGCAGCTTAGTCTCATTTCGATTATCATAATCATCGTCTGAGTTCCGAGTGCCATCATCATTTTGTTTTCTTTGTTTTTTTGTTTAGTCCCCACCTTTCACCCCCTGGTCACGTGACTCATCTGACACCAGACAGACATGCAGACGGCCTGCAGGCTCGACTTCAAACAGCTCCGCTGTTAATATTATAATCAACACACACTAATAGTAAAAATAAACATGTAGACGTCTCTGCGAATGGACCTCGCTCTCTCGCTTTCTCGGGCCAAGCTAAGTTCACGCGCGTTCCGCGGATGCCTCGTGTATGCGCCAGGCGTTGCCCCTACCACCGCTGCCTGTTCTTGCGGGTGCTAAATTCGGACATGCGCCTGTCCGGCTGCAAAAAGAGATCGGCGGGGGCGAAGAACGCGGCATGGCTGGGGAACATGCACCGAAGCGACCATGCGCGCCTCGTCTTGCCAAGTGGAATCTACAGAGCTCTCAGCCAAGAGGTAGCACTGCCATGCATCTTCACTGCAACTACATTTTTTTAAACACGAAAGTACTTTATGCCGATGTCCCCCACAGCTCCGCTAACGTAGTTCCGTCACGGATGTGACGTTGTAAATTATATACTAAATGATTGCAAGGAAGGAAAAAAAAAACGAGAGGGAAAATATCCGCAGTCAGGCGTCGAACCAGCCACCTCGAGCTCCACAGCACGCGATGCTAACCACATGCCACAAAACAAACTTCAACATGTTAACGGCGCGCCATTTATGTACCGCTGGCGGTCCTCACAGCTCAGCAACTTCAACGCGTTTTCCTCATCAGTAGTGAAATGGCACGACGGGCGCGCGTTGGAGGCGCGCGCAATGGTTGTTGTGCCGCGCCATCTAGCGCGTTGCTATGCGTGCGCGCCTCCGCATGGCATGTACAAAGTGCTTATTGATGTTCTCTAGCACTGTGGCTCCCTCTCGCGCGCGCTTATCTCGGGATTTCGCGTGCTTTGTACCTCTTGTGCTTCCACTGCAAGTTTACTTTGAAGTTTCAGTGTTTAAAGAGAACACGAACGTCACTTCGCTCGCTGCCGCGGTCGCGTTTAACCGACAGATGATGTTGAAAAAAAGGGAAATCTTTCTAAGCTGTAGAAGGGATGCATCCCCTTCTGATCAATGAAAGATTAGAAGGAAAGGAGCCCAGTGGTTGGCAGAGTACATAAAAAGATAGAAAGGCAGCTGCGAACTTTGGAACCATCTAAACCTCCCTAAGATATGAGACGAGCATAGAGAAGAGGTTTATAACTAGAGCTCAAGGTGCTAGGCTAGAAGGGGACAAAGCTATTGAATATATAAGAACAAGGGTGACAGAAAAATTTCAACACAGAAGTGCTTTATGCACCACAATAGACAAGGATGAATCAAGTGGCGCAATGGCTCCATTTTCACAGCAAGAGTGGGAAAGGGCGGAGAAAGGGTTCATAGTAGTACATCAACAGGCCCAGATGGCATTCCAATTATGCTGATTAAGACATTAGGTCCGAAGTCTAAGCAGGCTTTGAGAGAGGCAGTGGGCAAAATAATAATCAATGGAGAAGTTCCCGTTGGATGAAAACTTAGCAGGATGAGCATGATCTATAAAGGAAAGGGGGACAGAGCTGACATAAACAGCTACCATCCTATAACAGTGACATCAGTGGTCTACAGGCTGGCGATGCAGATTATAAAGGAAAGAGTGCAGGCATGGATAGAGGATGAGGGGGTGCTGGGGGAACAGCAGAATGGGTTTCGGAAACACAGGAGGTTGGAAGACAATCTGTTCTCACTGACGCAGTGCATCGAAATATCGGAAAAGGAACACAGGCCCCTGTGGCTAGCATTTTTGGATATCAAGGGAGCGTACGATAGCGTGGTTCAAGAGGAATTGTGGGGAATACTGGATGCACTAGGCGTGGAAGATGTAGTCACTAATTTTTTAAAGGAGATCTATAAAAGTAACAAGGTAGTTATAAAGTGGGAAAAACAGGTATGTAAGCCCACAGAGGTGAAACGGGGGCTTAGGCAGGGGTGTCCTCTGTCACCCTTGTTATTCATGTAGTACCTACAAGGATTAGAGGCGAAATTAGAGGGAAGTGGACTGGGTTTCAACCTCTCTTTCGTCAAACAAGGAAAACTCATTGAACAGGCTCTACCAGCATTGATGTACGCAGATGATATAGTGCTAATGGCCGACAACAAGGAAGATTTGCAGAGATTGGTGGACATCTGTGGTAATGAGGGAGATAGGTTAGATTTCAGATTCAGTAAGAAAAAATCAGCAGTCATGATTTTTAATGACAATGCAGGTAGTGAGCTTAGAATACAGGAGGTCACGCTAGAGATAACAGATAAATACAAATATCTGGGCGTATGGATAAGCAATGAAGCCGAGTACCTAAGGGAACACGAAATATACGTGTCGACTAAAGGTAACAGGAATGCAGCAGTAATGAAAAACAGGGCACTGTGGAATTACAATAGGTATGATGTTGTGAGAAAAATATGGAAAGGGGTCATGGTTCCTGGTCTGACGTTCGGCAATGCGGTCTTGTGCATGAGATCAGAAGTTCAAGCAAGATTAGAAATTAAGCAACGTGGAATAGGTAGGCTTGCCTTAGGAGCTCACGGCAATACACCAAATCAGGGAGTACAAGGTGATATGGGATGGACATCATTTGAGGGCAGGGAAGCTAGCAGCAAGATAAAATTTGAGAAGCGATTGAGAGAAATGGGGGAGGAGCGTTGGGCTAGGAAGGTTTTCAGCTACTTGTACATGAAGAATGTCGATACAACATGGCGGAAGCGAACCAGAAAATTGACTGGTAAATACTTGGAAAACAGCAGGGGGCCAAACCAAAAAGAATTATCGGTTAAGAAGAAGGTGAAGGAAGCTGAGACCGATATGTGGAGAATTGACATGATTAAGAAGTCCGCACTAGAGATCTATCGAACTTTTAAGCAGGAAATTGCCAAGGAAAGGGTCTATGAAAATACTCGGGGTAGTTCTCTACTGTTTGAGGCCAGAACGGAAGTATTGCGAACAAAGACATATCGGGCAAAATACGAAGGGGTAGACACGGTATGCAGTGCGTGTGGAGAGGAAGAAGAAACTGCCGAACACTTGATAATGTTCTTTAAAGGGCTTCACCCTGTAGTTCAGGTTGATGGCGTAGTTTTTCAAAGCACTGGGGTTCAGGGACAGTGAGGGCAAAATACACTTCATGCGGGTAGAATTAACTGGAAGGAAGTTATCTGATTGGTGGCTAAAGTCAAGGCCTGAGTGAAAATTGAACCCTTCGCTGCAAAGTACGAATTCTCAACTTCACTATTTTAAAAAAAAATCTATTTTTTGGTTCATTAAGTATAACGGCTTGGTGGCTCTAGCCACCGCCCGATCTAAAGGGTACAGCCATATCCATCCATCCATCCATCCATTGCTAGGCGAGAGAGGGAGTAGGAGCATAGGAAAGGAGAGAGAGTGAAGTAGGCGCATGCACAGTGGAGCGCGGACGCCACCGGGTCATACTCGCCCATAAGATGCTTCGCATTAAATAAAAACAAAGCAACCATAAGTGAGAAAAATATGTAGGAGCAGAAAGCCGCCGCAAAAAAACTCAGATAATTTCGGGCAGTGAAAACCGTCACGCCGCGAAGTTGTAAGCACTAGAGTATGTGGAGGTAAGCTAGGGGCAGCTTAGTCTCATTTCAGTTATCATAATCATCGTCAGAATTCCGAGTGCCGTCATCATTTTGTTTTCTTTGTTTTTTGTTTTTTGGTTTAGTCCCCACCTCTCCCCTGGTCACGTGATCCATCTGACACCCGACAGACATGCAGACGGCCAGCAGGCTCGACTTCAAACAGCTCCGCTGTT